ATGGGTATCGAAAAAGAAATAGGTATGTCATAAAATAAGATTGTATTTCTTCCCGCGATTTCACACATATTCGAAGACTCATTCTAAATGTAGGCAACACTTTTGCATGTGGTCATACACTGTTCACCGTATACATAGACAATACCTTACAATTCTGTAACAAGCAATAGAGGTTTCAAAGAAAAACGCTGTCTACATTTAGGCGAACAATTAAAATAATTATGAATAACTTTTTGATGTCATGTGGCGCTGTATTTTACCTAGGAACTTTGGGAAAATATATATATACTATATATATTGAAGTCACGAAGCTTAACATATAGATTTTTACTTAACCCACATTTTTTTATTAATAACTGCAAATTCAATCGCAACATTTCGAATTTAATACGAATTTTACTTTAATTAAAACACAATTAAAAACAGTTATTAAGCATCGAAGAGAAATTATTAGAAACGATAAATAAACAGTCAAGTATACAAAATATTGTTAAATGATATAGTTATTATAAAACTCCATTTGAGAAAACCAGAAACGCTTGAGGCTGTGATCACTATTTGTGCCCCAAGATTTGTTCAAAATTATATACTCTGGAGTTATAAAATGTAACATAAATATGTCAATTAGTGCTAATTAGTCCGCGAATTATATATATCAAGTTTAGAACCTTACTTCAAAGTGTACTAGTTCTAACTGTTACAACACTAGTGGCCTTCGTACCATTACTAGTCCACTGACATGAAAATGTTGATTTTTCACTTTGTTATCGTTCATTATTAGTAAGATGAAGGAAAAATCAACAATTGCCGAATTGAAACGAAGACCTTAGTCTCAAAGGGAGTTCTCAATTAGTACGAAGTAACAAAAATTCAACGAATTAGAATGAAATCGCGAGTCTCGAATGGAGTAATGACTTCGTACCATTCGATTCGATTTATCAATATTTTGTAAAAAGACTAACCTTACAGAAATTTAATAAAATTTCTTTCTTATCGCCGCACTAATTATATTTTTATACTCTCGCAACCTGTTGCTACAGAGTATAATAGTTTTGTTCGCCTAACGGTTGTTTGTATCACCTAAAACTAATCGAGTTAGATATAGGGTATATATGTATATAAATGATCAGGATGAAGAGACGAGTTGAAATCCGGGTGACTGTCTGTCCGTCCGTCCGTCCGTGTGTCCGTCCGTCTGTCCGTGCAAGCTCTAACTGAGTAAAAATTGAGATACTTTATGAAACTTGGTAGACATGTTTCTTGGTACCGTGAGACGGTTGTATTGCAGATGGGCGTAATCGGACCACTGCTACGCCCACAAAACGCCATTAATCAAAACAAATAAATTGCCATAACTAAGCTCCGCAATAAGATATAAGACTGTTATTTGGTACACAGGATCACATTAGGGAGAGGCATCTGCAGTTAAAACTTCTTTTTAAAAGTGGGCGTGGCCCGCCTCTAATAGGTTTAATGTGCATATCTCTAAACCGCTAATGCTATAATAACAAAATTCACTAGAAGCAAATGTTTGCTCTTCCTTACTTGCTATTTGTAAGTTTTTCCAGCAGGGCACTTACGTTGAATGTATGCATAACTTATTCGAACATTTCTTATGCCTCCAACGACATTCAAAGATACAAAGCGAAGCTTAAAGCAAAAATTCGAATGCAAACCGGTTGGTTACTGCTACTTTTCCCTACTACTTTATCAATACTTACAAACTCACATGACTATGCACATTCGATATACTACTCTGCTCATTTATTCCCCCTCATTATTATTTTTCATTCATTTGCCTCAGGTCTGTTTAATAGTAAAATGCTATATTTTTCGTTGGTCTCTTTCAATAGTTAACTGCTATCTTTTACTTTTAGCAAAGAAAACGAGCGACAACATTGTTTGGTAATAGATATTTCACAAAAATTGTTGCAGAAACAAAAAAATCTAAAAAGTTAAATGACGAAAATTTTGTTAGGCGAAAAAGATCTTTAAGCAGTCTGCTTGCCCTTTATGTCGTTGGCGAGAGATATCAGCTCCCGCTGTGCTCGTCAAACAAATTTTATTTCCCTTTTTGTTTTGTTTTTTGTTTTTTGCAATTTGAAAAATTGAATAAAGAAAATCGAAGTCGACTGGCTCCGCAATATGTTTGTTAAGTCATCCGTTAACGAAATTTATGTAATACGAACAGAGTTCCCTAAACATACCTACATCTACTATGCAACTGCCTTGAATGGTGGTATTGTATGTTATGGCGTTTTCTTCTTTGGTGTTTGGCGTTTACTGGAAAAGTTGTGCGATAATTGAAGCATAAAATTAAAGAGCGAAAAAGTGAGAGTGCGCAATTCGTAAGGTTCCCAGCTGCGAATAGGGAGTCGCTTTCAGCGGCGAGTTTTAATTATTTTAATTTCGGTTTTTTTCTTTTATTTTATATCTTATTTTCTAGCAGTTGGCTCTTATTTAATGTAATTAGAAAACGTCATGATGATAGTGATAGATTAGCAAAATTAAAATTAGCTATGTAATACTTAATCGCAAAGACGGTGGGATAATTTTAGCTTAAAAAATATTTCAGAGATTATATGATAATAATATTAATTTTTAAAATTTTGTTAAATAAAAATTATTCAGCAATAAATAATTGCTCGGAATTTGTAGCGCTGCTTCGGGCAATATTTTTGCCAAATTTCGTGAAGATATCTCGACAAATAAAAAGTTTTCCATCTAAAGACTTGAGTTTGATTGTTCAGTGTTTCGATATTGGCAGTTCCGACAACTGAGCAGCTTCTTGAGGAGAAAGGACGTGTGCAAAATTTCAAATCGATATCTCAAAAACTGATATACTAATTTGCGTATATACCGACCGACAGACAGACGGGCATATAAAAACTTCGGAAAAACTGAATATACTCTGTTCAGGATATAACAAATTGCTATAATATTACTTCAGTAAAAGTACAAATACTTGTGATATAGAGTGCCTTCAATCAAATTTGTAGATATATTTTCTTCGCTTGTGTACACGCTGAATTTCAATAATTATGTTTAAGAAACAAAAAACTTTTAGGTAGTTATTGAATTTATAAGTTCTTCTAGCTCATTGCAACAGATTTTGTAAAATATTAAATTAAACATTTTCCATATAAAAATTCTTGCGCGCACTTCACCATCGAAGATTGAACGAAACAGTTTAAAGTGATTTTTCGCAGAATTTCGGCTCGTAAAACGAATACCGCGAATAAAGCAAAGTATTACAAATATCTAAGCAATCAATTGTATAATCAGTCTAGACTTTGATGTCTGCGCTTGATTTGCGGCAGGCTGACAATTTTTCAGGCAAAAGGTTAATTTGCCAAAAGTGAAACTGCCATAAGAGTCAATAAAATTTGAAGTAGCTACGTAACAGTGGATTATATTTTAAATTTTCTTCTAGATTTTTATTTTATACGATTCATTTCTTCAACTGTCTGAAATTTACCCCTAGCTCCAGGTTAGTTGACAATTTTATCAAAGAGTTTTCGTTGATTTGACTATTTAAGAATTTCAGTGGCACTTTCGGCATTGTGGTTGTATCTGATTTGACTAGCATAGGCTGAAAATATATGACAGAATATAATATTCTATATAATCACAAAATATTAATAGTTTCAATTGAGTATTCATCACATTAACAAACCTTTTCAAATGTAAAATCTTTTCACTGGTCTTCTCCTATTATCTCATTAACAAAATCCTTCATTCATCGCCAAGCTCTTTTAATTACTCCAAATGACTTTAATTGTTGTGGCAGATTTCTATGTAGCTTCGAAAGCACTATACAGTTAAGCCTGCTGTTGTCTACGTCTTTGTACTACTCTACTTATATATTCATATGCGCTAATAATAATGATTTAAGCTGAGACTACGAGGCTTTTAGGCGAGGCAAGTATAAATATATATAGGCAGCAAGGTTTGCACTGAAATCCAATAATATTTAATTGAAATTACAAATGCTTGTGCTTATTAGATTTTATGAGCTTCTTTAAGCCTTTCTTTGATTATTGTTTCAAATTATAAATATTACATAAATGCAGCAATGTACCACAAATAAATTTACCTAAACCCTCTCGTAGGCTTTAAAATTGCTCTGTGGTTTTTAAAATTATTCTGGAACTCTTGATGAGTCGTCTCAACTTTTGATAGAATTTACCAATGCGCTTATTATTACTATTCCAAGCTCTTTATTACTACATGTTTCGGTCGCTCTCACGACCGTTTCCGTTTGGATATTGTTTTCGACGTAGCACGACTGCGTGCAGACGTTTTCCGTTAGGTATTAAATATACATGTCACAGATCACAGAATTTCATATGAAATAATAATTATCAAGGTGGTTGAGTATATACGGGTTTTGCAAGAAAATTGCCAGATATGAATTCCTTGTCACCTAATAAGACTGAATTATTGAGTAGTAAGAGAGACTATACTAAATTTTGGCAGTGATGGGTAGTAAATCCATGGTTTTATATAGATCCTGTTAATTAACAATATGTATACAGAGTTTAATGTACTTAATAATCGGTGATTAATTTTGAAAGATATTGGATTCTCTTGATTCATACCGACTCTGAAAACAGCGCTTCAAAAAACGCGTTCAAAGTATTGAAAAGTCAATATACTAAACTTAAAATTCTTACAAATATTTCCGAAGCTATTTGCTGGATTAATTTTAATTTTCGGGAAGTTTTTCAAAATTATGAATTCACAAGTGCATATCCCCTAAAGAGAATTCTGCCCCCTATATTTCGTACAAATATTAAATATTGCCTTGAAACATTTTCATGCAAATGCCGAACTTTAACCCGCCCAATTTCATTCACGTAACCACCCAAGTTCATTCACTCTGCACCTGAAGCAGTACAAAAGTTTAAACGCTTCACAAATAGCAACACTGAAGCGTTTATGTGTGTGTATATGTATATTACCTCACGAAAAATAATTTATTTATATTTTCTTTGCAGAATGTCAACGCCAACACCTGCCTGAAAGAACAAAAGCAACAAAAAAAAACTCGAGAAAGGCTGCTGTTGTCGGAAAGCGAACACACCGCTGTATAAAAAGGCAAAAAACAAAAAATATTAAGTAATCGAGACTCGAGGCAACGAAATCGAACACTTGCTTAAAAACAGACAGAAATAAAAAAGTGTCCCAAAACAAAAAAAAAAATAAGTTGAAAAAGTAAACAAGCAAACAATAACAAAAATATAAAAATTAATTTCATACTACTTTTGTTGTTTGTCAGTCTTATAAAGTAAGAAAGCAAACACAAGCGGGAGCGAAAAAAAAAATTTATATAAAATCACAATATAAATAAAAAGCTGTTGCAAGAAAGCAAAAGTGTGTAAGTGAAGTGCTGTGCAGAACAGACGTTCAGACGTTTATAAATAATAAAGATAATATTATATAATAACAATAATAATAACAACAACATAACTGCGTTATAAATCTCAACTCAGATATAACCAAGTCAATAAGCGGAAGCGCGTTGCTGCTGATTTTAATTATATTAATCGTGTGTTCTTTTGTTTTTGCATAATTTTCTCTATCTATATCTTCGTTGTTGTTGCTGTTTTGTCGTGATTGTCATCAATGCACTGCCAATCTGTCGACCACTTTACAAGCATTCGTACGTGAATCGTGAGCGCGCGTGAATTCGTATTGCCGACTAAGTGTGCGAGGCTAAAAATCAATAGCACGAGTTGTGGAAAAGCGTGAAATGCTTCACACAAAGTAAATGTGAGAAGAATTCAATAAAAAAGCCAATAGATAATTACGTGACTAAAATAAAAGACAACGTGATTTTAGCTAATTTTCTCTTATCTCTCAGCTGATTTGCTATTCTTTTTGCATGCGGCAACAAGTATCGATTTGAGTTCATTATTTAAGCTTGATTAGCTGCCCTGTCGCTAGATGTAGGACATTCCGGAAAAGTAGTGAGCACCATTAAACGTGAAAGTTCAACGGTCGCTAAACGGTTGTTTGAGAAAGTGTTGCGCGTCTGCAAAAAATATATAGAAGAGAGTTCTCTCTCCTTTCAACCATAAACGTAGTGCCAACTACAGTCCTAACTAACCGATTCGCCATATCTTTTACGCATAATTTTATTGGATTTTCACACCGCTGTTTCTCCACTTCGCATAGCTAATAAACTCGTGCGTCGTCGACTTGCTTCTGTGCCCACAAATGTACGTTGAAGTGTGACAGTTCAAGCACTCAACGACGAGCTTGAATTTGGTATCAACATTACCCAGGTAAGTGGCTGCCTTATTATACAAGCACTGCTAGTTATATTTTGCCATCCATTTCAAGCGCCCGAGCGCTTAAGCGCTGCCACAGCGCCTTTTAGCCGAATCAATTCAGCTCAGCTGCCGCCATTCATTTAGTCAGTTGTGTAAACGTTGTAAGTTCGCAAGTTTTTTTAATTACACTTCCAACAAGATTTTCTACTTACCGCATTGCCGTGCCAGAGAATGTTGATGAGTAGAGAAGGAGCAAATGTTAGCAGTACTAAAATGTTAATTGCTAAGAAGGAACATCGAAAACACGCAAGTTCGAAAATAAAATGTCACCACAGCTGTCAATTTACGCAACGAACGACACCACTCTATAAGCAAAATGTATATACATACATATGCACAGATGTTCTTTGATATGCGCATAAACAAAAATTGAAATAATAAAACCGAAAGAAATTGACTTCTAACAGGAAAATTAATAATCAGGAAATAATATTAAAATAGAATTCAAATATCAATTCATAAAAAAGGGTTATAAAAATAAAAAAGGACTATATAATATATGATGGATTTGAACTTAGGCAAAATATTTCACGTTGCAATAAAGAAGTCTGCTAACAAGCAGCACCACAGACAATATTCAAACTTTATGTCTAATCTGTGAACTCAAACGGCTATTGTTGTTTACTTGCTCAATGTTCATATGTCTATATGTGAATATTCTCGAAATTGCCTTCCTTCATTCGCATGTCCAAATATATTTGCATATATGTACACATATGTACATATGTATGTCCATCAATATGTCTTTCGCAAAAAATCTAACACTCGCGCAAGTGACAAAAAAAAACGTAGACGCACCATCATCGGCCAATAATATTCAAGCGAACTCGCGGCATATTTTCTAAGTATTTTATATTACAACGACAACAAATTCATTCATAAGGAACGTGCGTCTGCTTCAAAGCAAAGTGCGCTCGTTCATAACTCTGCGCCGCGCTATATTTTCTGTGCGCCTGGTAAGCCACATTTGGTTTTCATATAGAATTCCTACCGCAAATGCACGAAATAAAAATGAATGAAATTGAATTAATGTCTCAGTAAAATTGAAGAATCAGCAAAATTTCAATTTTACAATTTGTATCACTGAAAATCCTACTCATCATCCCCCTCGCGTTTGTATGTTGCCCACAAGCTGCTTCCTCACAACATTTGCTAAAAATCAGAAATTGAAGAATTTGTCTGATGTTCACTTCAGAAAGAGAAATTGGCAACATGACCTATTCGAGTTTAAATATATTTATATTTTTTCATATTATGCACTATTTATGGCATTAAATTATAAAATTTATATCAAATTGACATTCATATGAAATCATTAACTACTTCTATATATTCTAGGCACAGTCCATATAGTACTTTTATATGTTTACTTAATATCATTGTTTCATAGTTTTCGATTTAGCCCATTTATCTAAATACGACGCTTAAATATGCAGCCCAATTGGTAATCGCAAATTTCAAAAGAGCATAAGTCAACTTTCAATAGCAAACCACTGCAAAAAGGACAAACAGAACAACATAGCCGATCGACATTGTCGCAAAATTGTCGATTGAAACAAATTTTGTCAACTCCGCGACGATGCGCAAATTTGGCGTCAATATGTATGCGAGCTTGTTTGTAGTATGTATATAAATATGTATGTTTGCGGCAAAGTCGTCATTTGGTTTTTTTCAACAACACAATGTCCGCGCGAACTCGCCGTTATTTCGTTGGCTTGCCACCATGCACATAGGCGTGTCAAGTGAGGGCTCATATATATTGATATGTTGCTTAATTTGTATTGAAAAATACTGATGCATTTATGAATTATTTTCGTAATATAATATATATTATATATATTATATATATATATACCAATAAATTCATACCTATAATCGTTTTCAAACTGAATTCGATAAATAAAATAATTATGTGGCGGTGCGCCCCAATCCCTCCTTGCCTGCGATCGTTCAACTCGCAAAAAGCAAAAAGCGTAGACAAAAGTCATTGCTTGTGCGGCAAGAAGAAGCAAGCATCAGCGTACGTGTATTTAAGAATGTATGTGTGATTATCACATTTGTGTAAATAGGCATAATAAGGAAATATTCAATAAACCTAAACATATGAACATATTATATTTTCCTGATATATTTAATTATCTCAGGAAGTAAATATGCTATTAAAGAAATTGAATTATGATATGCTTAGACTCCAATTATAAAATAAAAAATTAAATAAAATTCGTTTTAGGATTCGAACGTATAGGCTCGTATTCGGATTGTCTTAACCCCTTCCCGCTTACGACCTAAGCCACCTCAAAAGTGGAAACGTGGCTGCTTAGCCACCGTTTTATTATTATCATTATCATTTGTTTAATAAGTATATTGCTTACGCAACGCACATACATAAGTTAGAAACTAGCTTATTAAAGTTTTATTTTACTATGAATTCTGGGTTTTTACCGGTAATACAGATTTTAATTCAGAAGGCTTTTCATAATTATAAATTTGTCATATCATAGAAATTGAAACATAAATCTAAATAGGTATGCGCAACGATTTTCATATAGGAATATTCGTTGTGTCTATTATATAGCATTTCGCATATTGTGTGGTGTATTTTTCTTTTTCGAAGTTATACTTTTCGATGTTCCCTCTTGTGGAATTACAAATTAGTACTCAAAAAGTTTTCATTTAACATTTGCTCCTTCTCTACTCATCAACATTCTCTGGCCGTGCCGATCTCCCACACTCACAGTGCCGTATGCATTGGTCCGTGGCTACGGCTTGGCCCAGTCGCTGCGCTCTTCCTTTAATTACGTGATTATTCATTGCATAATTGAAAGCAATCAGCGTAGCTTGTAATTTCGCATCTCTCACTTATTTGATGCGTTGTTTTTTTTTTTTTTGTTGCAATCTTATGCCTGCTTTGTTTTCATATGCCCCAACATGATTCATTTCGTTTTGGAATAACGATTCGGCAAACGGTCGGCAGCTTGTCGGTGAGCAATCGTATATATGTATGTGCGATTCATTTATGTATCTCATCTACATTATCTTGAAGACTTCATTTAAAGTACACCAAATGAAGGGTTTTTCCGAAAAGAGTAAAATTTTGATGGTGGATGTACTATTTTTCAAACAGATTTTAGGCAGAATAGTTTTTGGTTTGTGTCAGAAGACAAACTTAAGCTTAAAAAACTTGTAGGTTGCTGTATAAGTGCCCTCAGAGCAGAACTTTTATCAAGGTCAAAATTTTTGAGACTCAAAAATAATCAAAAAATGGTTTATGCTAGATTAGTTTGACTATCAAGCCAATCTTTATCGACTAGCAGAGCCTCGACGAACGAAAACTTACTGGAGCCGGTACATTTCCCGAAATTTGATTCTTTAGCAATACAAAAAAAAAAATCAGCTCAAAAAATGAATGACTATGCTAAGAAAACATTCCTCGACTTAACTTGTTCAAATCAGTTCCTGACATCAATAATGCTGTACGACAGAAACTGAAATCCTTTAAGATATAAACTCTCTAGTTGCTCCGTACATCTCTATACTTTTGAGTCGTGGCAGCTCGGTAAAAAACAGTTCTTTTGTTTTCTCTGTTTGTTCAGGAACAAATTCTATAAAGATTCTTATGATAAATTATATCATTGCTGAGGAGCATAACTGCTAGAGTAACAGGTAAGGAAGTGATAAGTTCGGGTGTAGTCGAACATTTCATATTCCTGCAACTTGCAAGGATCAAAACCGGAGTATTTTCTGGTGTTGGCAAAACTTTAGATAAAGAAATGTATCGAAAAGGTTCAACTTCGTTGTTCGACGAAATGGTGAATGGATTGAAATTAAATTTGGCATCATGTTAACTTATTTTGAAGGTCATATACTCACTTAGTATTATTACTATATTTTACTTTCCGTCAGGAAAAATTATACTAAAATCATTGGGTGCATAGAAATAGAAGTGCTAATTGCATTAATTTTTGAAATTGTTACGTGTACTTGAGAACTTATTTTCAGGAAATTTTATAAATATATATATATAACCATATATAACTCGTGAATATCAGTTATATGGGGGCTAAAGGAAACTTTTATCCATTTTTGGCACAAAGATACACCGTTATTAGAAAAACACGCCTTATCAATTTTATTTAAATAACTAGCACATTGATGATATAACATATGTGATATAAAATCAACTGGAAGTTTGAAAATCTTTATAACCTATAAGGTATATGGGGGTTAGGGAAAGGGATCTGATTGAACCCATTTTCAACATAAGGGTTAATTATTAGCAAAAAAACATTTTCCTCGAATTTCAATAATATATCTCACAGATTGATAGATATTTTCGGCAAAAAGTCAGCCATAAGCTCTGGGGTCCACATATTCGATATGTGGGGGCTTGAATAGTTAAGCCATATCTATAAGTGCTTGATTTGTATACTGGAAAGTGAAAAAAACCAGATGGAATTTAAAGTTGTGTTATATGGGAAGTAGGCGTGGTTACTGTCCATTTTCGCATTGTAACATGGGCATGGCAAAGCAATCTTTTGCGCCAAATGTGGTTGAAATTGGTGGAGTAGGTTCGGAGGTATGTGATTTCCCCTAAATGTGGGCGGTGCCCCGCATATTAAATTACAAAACTTAACCCCAAAGTCGTAATTAAAAAATAATAAATTGCATATAATTAAATTATAGAAACGAACGATTATTACTGTAATTATTGTACTTAAGCTAGGCAAAGTAATTTAATTAATATTGAATCGGAAATAATATTAAATTTCGCTCGGAAATAATTATGGTGAATTGCAAAAGTAAGTGTATTCAGCGAATTCAGAACAAGAAAACCAAATAAAAAAAAATTCCCATACAAGAACTTGATCTTGATCATTCAGTTTATATGGCAGCTACTTATAATAGTGCTCCGATCTAAAAGAGATTTTCAGCATTGCTTTAGACAATAATATATATAAAAATTGATCGTACCCTGGTATCATTAGTAACCGTCACAGTTAACAACAGTCAAAAACCAACGCTTTGAATAACAACATTTGTACTTCCCCAGTGATTTACATTGAAAATGGAAAGTCCAAAAATCTCAAAAACTCAACATATTTTTATTGTGCTGCGAAATACGCTAATTGACAATAACAAGTGTTCACAAATCAATTAGCGTCCGGCAATAAGCCTCCGAACCGTAAATAGTATAAGTGCTATCGTCACACATAAGAACACGAGCAGGTAAGAAAATAAAAATTTAATATATATAAATATATATATAAACATGTATATTTTTATATGTATATTCTATATGTTTCTATTAAGACCAGAAAGTTTCCGGAAATTGGAAATAAAACAAAAAATTTTAAATCTTCATCAATATTTATTTTGTCGCCTTCAAAATATGTTCCTACGGAAGCAATACACATCTGCCACCTCTTTTTCCAATAATCGATCAGTTCAGTTCTGAATCAGTTCCCTCTAGTAGTGATAACTTGAGTTTTGGTCGCATGGGGCCAAATCCGGTGAATATGGGGGCTGTTCGTTGGTATTGAACGAGTTTTTGGTCTTAAAATCGTTCATTATACTCTGTAAAACGATAAAAAAATTAAGACTCGAAAGTTGCCGGAAATTGTTTTCTTCGATATATATATATATTTTCACCACACTATCGATTGGTTATCGGTTGCACTTTTTCCTAAATATTCTAAAAAGGTCCAAAAACGAAAATTCCTTTGGCCGTCAAAAGACATATCGGTAGATTTTGAAGGTTAAAATACCGATTTCAATTGAAATCGATAATTTTTAATACGTTAAAACGCTATACTCGACCAATCTGATATTCCACCGACAGACAAGAATCTAATATCGACTTATACCTACACAGGAACCCTGTGTAAATTTAAAAGTATATTTGTAACTACCAAAGAATAATAGAAGCAATTGATTCGTTTCAATTGTCAAAGCGCTCGTATTCCATCCACTACACCGCGTCAATGTCATTTTATAACACCGCAGCAAATTATCCATATTCGATTCGTTACAGAATAATATGGCATTAGTCACAGTTGTTGCAATAAATAGACCTCAAAATGACAGTACAATTAATCTAGAGTGACAATTGTAGCACAGCGGATGCAAATAGTCTAAGTCTTTGAAATGTTGCGACAATCCGAACATTTGCAATTTCGCCGACGGCAAGCGCTTGTCATTTTGAGCTTTATAGTAATCCTTTGCTTGGGTGAGTATTACCAGATATAGTTGAAGTATTTAATTTACATAATCCAATTTTTAAGATTTTTCTTATGCCGATAATCCTAACAATAAGGATGAAGATACCACGGTACCAGATACTGCTCTCATACATCGTATGGCTAAAGCTCCTTTGAAGCTTGTCAGCGAAATTCGCCACGCAGTCGCTGGTAAAGAACCTGCATCGAACGGTGTCGGCGAGAACGCCGCCAATCCGAAAAGCCCTGAAAAACCTGTAGGCTCCGCCAATAATGGTGCTGCTGTGCAATCTGATGATGTCCAATCTGATAGTGTCTCATATCAATATCAATACCAAAGTTATCCTAGTAATGGATACGGATATTATCAATTGCGTGGTTGAGGTAGTTTCAAGTAGCTCTGGAATCATAGTACTATTCAAATAAATTTAATAAATATCTTGCGGGTCTAAGTTGGTGTTAGCTTATACAAGAAATACAGAAACATATCGAATAGTATATCGAATTATCTTGCAAACACTTTCACTTATTATATTGGGCATAAGTCTTCTCATTTCGCATAACGAGTGGAATAGTGCGACCACTTCACAGCAGTGTCTAATAATCATTAAGTGCAATTCGAAGACGTTTCTACTTCATTTTGCGATCGTCGTCGAAACATAAATTCCTTGTACACAGCAGAGACCAAGAAATAGTTGAAATGGGGGACTACACCTGGAGAACCTACTTTCAAAAAGGCGCAGATTGTCCTTATAAAAAAGAACAAAATTATTGCGGAGATCTAATGTGACGAGAAAAAAGTTGCTCTACCAATAGTGCCTACTCTGCAGATCTTTAGAAATCGAATTTTTTACACGGCTTGAAGAAGTTGAAGCATCAGTGGGCAAGTGTATCGAGCTAAGCGCCTTATGGGAACGCCCTATTTAGTAGTTATATGCGAATATACAAAGCGGGTGGAGTTGTAGTGATGACAGAGTTCAGATTCTAAACAAGCAACTATCATGTGTGAGCGTCCTCTTGCCCTGTATGTGTCAAAGACAATGACAACACTATTATAAATCGCTTAAATGCCTGCACATGTCATCCTCATTTCCAGTTATTCACACTTACATGGACAGAAATAGATACATACATAATATAAATATTTCAAGTTGCAACAGTATGAAGAAGCCATTAAATTTTCATTGCATAGAAGTGCCTACATTGGCCCCGAGACGAAGGTCACTTTCTACGTTATACAACCACAAACTGTACAGTATCTTAGAAGTATTTGCAATGTATACATATAAGCAGGAATATAGGAATAAGTATAATATGCCATTAACCGTCAAAGCAAATAAATCCGATTGGAAAAGACAACGAAAACAGCAAGAAAAGCACAGTAACCAAACTCTCTACATTTCACACGCGAAAAAACTGTATTAAGCACTACCATGTGGAGGAAAAAAACAAAGAATTCTTAACATAAATACAAATACCAAAAACAAAAAAGTGACTCAATTTAGATTCAAATAAATCCAAAGCCGATAAGAAAAGAGCAGTACAAAAAAGAAGTTGGCTCAACATCAGTCAGTCATTGTAGCCAACACAAATCCATAGGTGGCACATGAGCAACAGCGAGGTGCTGTACAAATAACACGGAAATCGGTGTTAGGATTTGCTATTTTGTTGCAGACACATGCATAAGAACACGTATATACAAGTAATTACATAATGAGATTTGTAATATTTGTATTACTTGTAGTAATAGGCACTAAAATGAAGATGTGGGTGTGAGTTGAAAGAGGATGTTTGAGATGCTATTGACTCTTGAAGTGCGTTGCTGTTTCAGAATTATTTGTGGGATTTTTGAAATTTTTTTAATTAAGAAGGTTGTAATTTTCCTTTACTTGAGTTTTTATAATGTCGCTAGTATTTTGTAACAACTCTTTCTAATTGAATTGTTAGTCTTCTTCTTTTAGCTTTCAAGGTTTGTTGAACTATCTGCTCAAAATACTTGTATAGATAGTATGAAGGATCCGCACAACCGGGTTTTGGGTATTTATTTCAGCACGAAGCTATCGTTTTCCGATTCGTTCAAACAAGAACGAGTGTTTTTTATTGCATAAAATAGTTAAGTTGATTCTGTGAAAAAGAATTTCAGCACCAAATTTAGTATTTTGTGACTATTCCTTGACCTCATAACTCATATCTCCGCCCCAAAAAAGCTGATATAGTTTACTGAAAGGAATTCTCTGCAAAGGATTTGAAGTCCCTATAGCTGCCTTACATCTATACAGCATTTTGGGGAATGTAGACCCATATCTTGTAGTTTGCTTTAAGTGTCTAAATGAATTAGAGAATCATTTTTTTACTGATAAAATAAAAATTAAGTGCTTGTTAGAAGAACAGATGATGGAGGAAGAACTATAATTGCAACAGAATATTGGGCTCTTTTCAGACCCTTGAGGCAAAACCCCTACCTGTTGTACGGACGTCGGAAATATTTCGACTCAATTGAACTAACTATATTACGACGAACTATGTCAAACCTAATGAACCATCTCGATCTCAATTTTATATCCAAAAGTGATATTAACTAGCAAATCCTCCCTTAACTCATTATTTTTCGTAATTTATGCATATATGCTACGCTGAATACTAAACAGTTTGTGCCTCAAAGAACCAGCGTTAGTTCAAATCAGTAGACCATTACATCCACAGAGAAATGAGTATCCTAACTCACGTTTTCTGTCGTCAATACCTAATACTAACAGCGGCAAATATCATATATGTGTATGCATATGTAGGCATATGTTTCTTCTAACAGCTATGCCTATATGTATACATTATATAAATATAGAGAGAGAAAAAAAACTACCTTTAACCTTGCTAAGCTTAGATGCGTCGATATTATTGAATTATTTTATGATAATTTCTCTCTTTCATTCAAAGATATCCACGAATATGTGGATATGTAACATAAAGCCATTTGCAGTTAAATTTTAGTGTTATTTATTTTATGGAGCAGAGATATTATTATTATTATTATTGTTTTTTTCGAAAAAATATAAATATCTTACTCCAAACACCTAGCTACTTTTTGCTTGACTGAGTTGGCTATAATAAAATAGCTCTCCCACATGTGTAATAAGCATAACAAGAATTTAGCCCGAACACAAATTTATTGTAATTCACTGCGGCGCATCTCACTTCGTTTCACCATATTTTCTCCATTAGTTCAAGTGCACATTCACCTTTATGGTGGCACATAATGGCTATTGGTGAGAAAATTTGAAGTTCTTAAGGTAAGCTGCCTTTTTTGGCAGTTAAGAGTTCCCGAAAAATTAATTTGCAAGCAGATAAGATAGCTGTAGATAACGTTAAGAAAAATATATTACTTATAGCGATACTAAATTAAGCTAATTTACTAAATTTTTTTGGGAAAAAATTATCAATATTTTTGTTATAAAATTTCAAGTATTTTATAATAGATTTCCTGCAAGTTTGAGAAGAGAAATGGAAAAATGGTATTATATATTATTCCTAACTCCTCTGCCATATATTCCAATCTACTAGTGCTCAAAAATTCATGATAAATTCATTTAATAATGAAATGACAATTCATTTTGATTCAAGATAATCACAAATAATTTGAATCGCAAATTGCACCGAGAGCGCAACGTTAAAGCGCTCAGCAACTCAATGGTTGTATGAAAATCGTACTTAGCTTTAATACTTTACAAACTTATATCTGTCTCTATGAACATATATATTCATATATAGGTGTATACATTCAACTCTATTTCAAAAAGCCAGGCAAATCTCTAAAGCAGAATTTAGATTAATATTTAAGAGTTAATGTCGACCATTACCAAATAATATGTACTAACTGTGCGCACACACTTGTGATTCTGCCGTACCCTGTAGGGAAATGCAAGCGAAATTAAAATAACTTGAAAGCATAAATCTAGTTTTTATTACAATAAGAAATATTAAAAGTATCTGTGCAACTATTTTGGCTTTTATATGACTTAATGAAGATCCACATTTAAAAAAATAGCTTTTATAGCTTTTAAAAATTTAAAAGACTTCTAGATAAAATCAATTATAAGTTAATCTTATATCTGTATCTATAAACTTTACATTTGTTCGTACAAACATCTCTAAGACTTGTGACAGAGAAGCCCAACCACTTCTCTACATTGTCCAAAAGCTTGATAGTTGGCTCCAACAAGTTCTAAATACTTGTAATACCAAAACGTCAAGTATGCTGGAGGTAAACGTAACATCATAAAATTCTTCAAGGCAAAATAGAATGAAAGTGTTTCTTCATAGGAATTCTAAAATATAGCTCATACGTTCCAAAATTTTGAATAAATGGAGTTGTTTTAAAGGTTGGTAAGTCCTTAAGACAAGGCATTCTATTGTTAGTTATTCAAATATAAATATTTCATAGAAACATCAATCTATGTCTTCTCAAACTACAAATCAATGTAGAGTCTTCTTTAACTGGTAAATACTTTTTAAGAGATCACATGAGTTTCACGGTTTCAAAAAATACAAATTATTATCTTATTTATTTCTATAACATCTCTAGATTATTGTTCTAAGTTCTTAAGTTGATACCAGTAATAGTTTTGAAGATACAGCTTTAAAGCTAAAGCTAAAGTTGCGCGCTCGAGATCAGCTATGTTGTCACTTAAAACTTCAAAGGCGCTTTTTTCGAAACTGTATTTTCAAAAAAAAAATTTTACTTTATTTGTTTTTTCTCCAATCCAATATCTAGTTAATGGTCTTAGTTCAAACACGTATATTTTTCTTTTTACGTTTGATGATTCTGTCTAAAATACGGTTGTCAACGCGTAAGCAGGCGTAGTGACTTTGAAAATTTCATAAAATCTTTATCAAATATGTGTCTTTGCAATAATAAAAACTTTGAATAAAATTTATCCTTTTTTTATATGAAAAAAAAACCATGTAACCCCTTAAGTAGTAGATGGAGATGTTATGGACATTCTTTTGCGCTAGAAGATGTTTTAAAATTTCTCAAAACAAATATCATTAAAAATATTTGCTGAAATTTTTCCTGCAGGGTACCCACTAATTGAAACAACCAATGAAAATTAAGAGCAACACAAAACAGCCGTTAAGGCCACAAAGGCGGGAGACAAACAAACACCACGTACGCGACATAAAACTTAAAATTTAAACTTAAAATATCTGGATAACATTAAAAATCCGAAAAAACCAAGAAAACAAGGCGATACTAACAAAAGAATATGCCAACTGAGAGGCAGCGTTGAACCGCTTGCGACCCAAAGATAGGATAAACTTAAAATGGCGACGGGAGGATAGTAGAAAATAGCGAAAAAAGCGCCAAGCAGACAATGTCAAGCATTAGTGGTGAACATTAATGAGGGCGTGACGGCTGTGTTCCCAACCAGCGCTAGCAGAGCGAGCGGAAACAACGACAACTCCCTGGTTGCTTTTGGCCCAAACCCCGCTGCTTTGGCGAGAGAAACACACAGGG